TAGATATCCTGTAAAAATTTACCTTGGACTTCTTAAGCAAGTTCTTCTTAAAGTTTTTTAGATAATTTAGATTTTATTTCATCTTCTTTTTGTTTTTTGTTTGTATTTGAATCCTTAATATATAAATATATATAATATAAATATATATATATATATATATATATATATCTATATATATATATATATTTTTATATTTATTATTTATTTATTTTTAATCATAAAAATGATTATATAGCAGTTATATATTTTTATTTAAAATATTAGAATAATATTATAAAAATATATTTATTTAAAGAATATACTTTGTATAAATATTCAAGATAATTACTAATTTTAACCCTTAAACTACTTTAAACGTTTTAATCATCTATATGTTAATGCATTATTCTCATATCATTTTTCAAGTCCTTTTTATAATCATTAATATTTTGTAGAATATTTCCTATACAATTTAAAGTATAAGCATATAAATCTCCTGTAAAAAACATTGTAACTATTGTAAAGGTACATTCAATTTGATTTTAAGGTGTAATATCTCCATATCCTACAGTAATCATAGTAACTGCAATATAATAGAATGAGTAAACATATTAAGTATAAAGGGATGAACCTATTAAATTTTTCGAATGTAACCATGTATCATGTCTTCTTAATTATATAATTCATAAATAGCTAGGCTGTACCATATTAAGGAAAAAAAATGGCATACAGTAACTATTATAAAAAGCAGTTTTAATAATTCAATTGTATTTTCCAGTTTTAACTGAATTCCAAAAATTTAATCAAAAGATTCTAAAATTTCTAAAAGGATAAATAATTTGAATAAAACACAAATACATAAAATTAAAGTGAAGTCTTTTTAATTTAAATTAAAGTCAATAATAAAGTTACTTAAAGGAATTATAGAAATCAAATTTTTATAAAAGTATTTTTTCATCTAATATGTTACTATTTTTTTTCTATCTAAAATAACATTTCCTTTTAAAATGATTCCTGTATTTATATGAATTATCATATCAAGTATAAAAAATATAAATATAGATTTAAATATCAATTAATATTCATTAATATCTAAATTAAATGTTACTATTACACTTAAAAGGAAAATAAGTATCATTATACATAAACCCTGGATAGCATTTTAAATTATTATAAATAAATTATAAGGCTAAAATATAGGTATTAAATTTAAATATTAGTTATATATTTTATAAATATTTGTTTTATTTTTTGGATTTATAATTAAAGTTTATTTGGTTTTCTAATTTGTAATAAGTTATTTCCGTAAAAAGATGATTAATCACCTATTAAATGGTATTCGGCTTAAGTTATTTTTTAAAATATCCTTGTGTTTTTAGTTAGTTGATTAAAAAAACTTTTTACTTGTACAAGTAGGACTAAAGCTTTTATTAGTTTGCTTTTGTTTATTTTGTTTTTATTTTTGCTTATTTTATTCGAATTGTCTTCTATTATTTGAAAAGATTAATAGCAGTTATTTTCTTTATTAATTTAAATATTTTATATGTTTTATATATTTGTGTTTTATGTTTATATGTTTTAATCTATCGAAAACATTTCATATATTGTATTTTCTTCTTTTTTAAGGTTTATCATTTGTAATTAATAATGTTCCTTTTTTTATTATTATATTTAAAAAAAATAATATTTAAAACATCTTAGTTAAATGGTATTTATGTCATATGAATATATATTTCATTTTCTTATTAGTTTTATACATTCATTTATATTTTTAATTATTTTTTATTTCAATAATATTTAATTTTATTTTTAATTCAAATGAATGTATAAATAAATTAATTTAATTATTTTTTATATTAAAACAACTATACTATTTTAAGTAATTTTTATACAAAATTTATTTTTATAATGAAATAAAAAGAGTAATTTTTTGGAATCTTATAAAATAAAAAATAATTAATTAATATTAAAAATTTATATTATATTTTTATTTATAAGCATAATATTATTCTGTTTATTTTTCTAAAATTATTTTATAATTATAATTTTAAAATATTATAAAGATGTTAATTTTTAATATAAACTTTATCATTATTTTTATATATTGCTTTTATGCAAAAAAAAAAAATTAAAATATATTGTATTTTAACTTATTTAAAAATTTAAATTTAATAAAAACTTTATAATTTCATATAAAAGTTTTAAATATTATATAAATTAAAAGTTAATAAAAAGACAAAAATTTTTATTTTATCAAATTAATTTATAACTTATTATAACTTTTTATTTAATGTGCTATTAATTTAAAAAATTTATTTATAAATAAATAAAAAAGCAATAAAATATATAAGTAATACTTTAATTAAATACAAATGGATAAATCAAACAAGCGGTTAGTATTTATTTTTATATTTAAATAAGTATAAAATACTATCTTTAATTATAAAAAGTGTTTTAAATTTGTAAATTTTAGATGATAAATGCAATCAATTAAGAAGAAAATTTAAATAAACATAAATAACAATAGCAAAAATAATGCAATAAAAATTAAAAAATGAAATGGTTTATTTTTTTGTTTTATAATTTTAGATATATATTTATTAATAAAAAAAAGCGAACAAAAGAAAAGCTTTTTATAATATAAGAAAAGAAAAAAATATAATATGAATAAATGAAATAAAAAGTAGACTTGTAAATGGCAAATTATTAAAAAAGAATGTAAGATAAAGATAAAGAAAATAATAAAAAAAAAACAATTTCAATTAAAGAGATATTTATAAGAAAAAAAAATGAAAAAATAATATAAGAAAGTTTAAAAAGTAATATAATGTTTGTTTCATTTAAGAATATATATATATATATAAATTTTATATAAAAAATTAAATTTATAAAAACAAAAATAAAGAATATAATTTAAATAAATCGAAAGAAGAAGAAAAAAAAAATTAAATAAAAGATTTGAATTCAGGAAGTTATTTTTTTAATTTAACGGCTCCAGTAGTCTAAAAAAACGAAATAGCTGAGTAAATATTTTAAAAGTTAAACGAAAAACTACCAAAATAAAAAATTCCTAAAGAAAAAAATTAATAAAACCCTTTCTATAATAAAGCTAATTGGGATAAATTCATGGAATAAGAAAGAAACGGAGAAACTAATATCAGATTTCCAGGAATAGGAATAGAAAGAACACCTTTATATGCCATTTAACAAGAGAAAATTGAAAAATAAAAAAAATAATAAGAAATACTTGAAAATCTTAAAAAATATAATTTAATAAACGGCCAAAAACACGAAATAAATTTTGAAAAAATAGTAAATAATATATATATATATATAAAAAAAAGACTGTAATATATATATAAATAAAATAAAAAAGTATAAAAAAGTTAAAAATATTACAAAATTTAATCAAATTTATCCTCGTTCGAATTCTGAAACTTGTTTTTTTATTTTTTTGTTCTAAGTTTAAATAATTTTTTATATAATTAAAATTAGTATTAGGACATATATTTGAATAATCAATTTTGGAAGCAAGAAGAGTATGGGGATGTTCATTTTTAAGTAATGTAGATAAACAAAATTTATAAAATTAAAGTTAAGGTTATAAACAAAATTAAATTTATTTGCCAGATAATACATATTTAAATTGAGATAGAGTATATTTAAATAGAGAAATTATATAATTTTTCTAATAAATAAATAAAAGATTAATAAAAATATTTTCTTTTTATATAAATGTATTTTTATATGCAATCGATATACTTATATATGACTTTTTTGTTTTTATAAAAAAACAATCAAAATGACCTCAATATAAAACAAATATAATAAAATATAGAATTATCAATATAAATATATTATAGAATTATTTTTTCGTTTAAAAATAATTCAAAATATTGACTAATAATCATTTGAGTATATTTACAATATAAAATATTTAAACCGAAAATTATAAGCTGCATTAAATTCTAAAAATGTGTTTAAAATAATTACATTGAAAAAAAAATTAATGTTTAATAAGTATTACAAGATCTTGTAGTATAATCTCATATTAAGGTTTGAAATAAATTTTAAGAGATGATTTGGAAAGTCTTAGTTATTTTATTTTTCAAATTTGTTAAGGGAGATATTTTTTGGTTGAACCTATAAATACATGACAAAATCAACGATTTAAAAAACAAAAGAGTTGATAATAAAAATTAGTATTTTAGACATGCATAAGGCGAAAAATTTCAGTTCGTTTTTGAATTAGGTTAAAAATTAGATTTTTAATATAAGAACCAGAATACAAATAATATAAGTTGATAGTTTAAAAGTGGTATTGGAAGTTTTAAAAATAGTTACTTTGGTTATTGTTAGAATAATTTAAATAGGTAAATATAATTTAGGATAAGAGGATATACTTAATAAAATAAAAGGAAAGTCTAGTTGGAATAGTATAATTATTAATTATTGAATATATTAATTTTAATAAAGATTAGATAGTAAAACGTTATATATAACTTTATGTTGATATGAATGAAATTTAAATTATATGAAAATGTTAAAGAATACTAAATCAGTAATTTTAATTATATAAATTAAAGTAAAATAAATATTAAAAAATAAAAAATAAAAAATAGTTTTTATGTATTTATAAATTTTTTTTATTTAAATTAAAATATACATATATATATATATATATATATATATATATATATATATATTTACTTTTATTTATATAACATTTTTTAAATAAAAATTATTTAATTATTAATATTTTATTTAGATTAATAGAATTATAAATAAAAATTAATTTTAATATATATTTAAAAAATATAAAATATAATATTTATTTTAATTTTATATTAATGATTTTATGTTTATATAATTTTATATTAATTTTTTTATATTATATCAGATTAGATTCTTATATAACTAAATTTCAAGAAAAAATATATTTTGATATATTTTAAAATTAAAAACTTTCAATTTATATAAAAATATGTAAAAAATATAAAAATACATAATAAATATTAAATTCATTACCAAATTTATACGTTCATTTAAATTATAATTATAAAAAAAAAATATTTATACATCTTTTATAATTAATAATTATTAAAAATAAAAGATATTTTAATTTATTTCTCTTTATAATTTTATTTATTTTTATATATATAAATTAAATATTAGATAAAAATAAAAATATATGCTTTTTTATATTTAAAAATTAAAAATTTAAATTTTAAAAAAATATTTTATTATATTTTTAAATTATAATAATTTTATTACATTTTATAATTTTTAATTTTTATTTTTTACTTATATATTTTTAATATTTATTTTTTTAAAATATGAAATTAATTAAATAAATATATATTAAATACATTTGTTTATAAATAATTTAATTTTTCATAACTTACTTAGTTATAATCTATCTTTGTAACTTTTAAAAATATCCTATTTACAATAAAATAATAAATAAGGACTACTACTACTATAGTCTTCATACTTTTTAATTTATGATTTATTTAAAAGAGTAACTATATTATCATTAAAAATATACCATTATCCATCATAAGGATTTAAAGATTCACTATTTAAAAAAATAATAAATATAAATTATTAAAAAAATTAATCATACGAAGTATAATGTCCTCCTGATATAGTTCCACTATGATTAACAACACCATATAAATCATATTTGCAATTTTAAATAGATTAATCATCTTTTTAAAAATAAAATAAAAATTAGCATCTAATAATAATAAAATAAGGCATACAATTATCTTTATTTATAAATTATGATAAATCAAGATTGAAAACAGGAAATTTGACAATATCGGTAATTTTATCATTTCTATATTTTCCATAATTGAATCTTTTTAAATGAATAACAAGTACTTAAGGTAATTTCTAAAGATAAAACTATCTACTAGATTTCGTATGTGTTTTACATTTTGAGCAATAATAATTATCTGAAAGTTATTCTTATTTTATAAACTAATCAATAAGTCTATATAAATCACATTCTCCTAATTATTTTAAACCTCTAGTAAAACTTAAAGATAAATCCATAAAATTATCAAAAGCTAAACTTTAATTTTAACATTTTGAACATATTACTTTGCTTAGAAATTAACCTTAAAAGAAATCTGTTACAAGACTGTCATCCCTTCCTTTATAATATTAATACCAACTATCACTCTTTATTTATTTATTTTTATTTTATATTTTTATTTTATTTATTTACTATTTATTGTATTGTTTGTTTTTTTATATCTGCTTCTAATTCTTTATATGGAGGTTTAGTTTTTACTCTATTTAAATCTTCATGTAAACCATCCATTAATGTTCTTAGTAATTCTTATGCATCTTATTAATCATATCCTTTAAATTATTACGATATCCTTTCTAAACAAAAAAACATTTATTTTTAAATTTTATTTTATTACCAACTGCTTATTTTAATTTATATGTTGATTGCGGCTATGAATAGCCTATTTGACGAACATTTTTTAATAATTATGCATATGCTTCTGCTACTCCTTTATTTTTTATTTTAAGTCTTTTAAAAACTCATCAGAAAAGAAAAATTCGTTAAATATAGGAGTATTAAAAACACATTATAATGTTGAATTCCTTTTAAAATATTGGTTTTTAATTTATAAAAAATAAAAATTAATTTTTTACATAAAACATGTATTTCCTATATTATTTAGACCACCTGCAGAACGTTTCTATATATCTAGTTTAGTTTTATTATAATTCTCGATTTCATATTTTTTATTTTCATTTTAAATTTCGTTTTTTATAGATGATAATGAGTTTATTTTAATATCTTAAACGTTAAACTTTTATACTGAATTCAAATTCAAGCGTTCAAATTTTTCGTTAGTATTATCTCCTCCTTTTTTTGTGCTGAATTAGAATTGGATTTAGAGTTCTTATTTTTCAATATTTTTGTTATTTTTGGATGGATTTTAAGAATCCTAGCTTTTACTATTGTTTCTTTTGATATTTTTTAAATTTGGTTTAGAAATAAAATTAAGTAGATTTTTGTATTTTGAAGCAATTTTTTGGTAATTACAAGGGTTTTATTTTATTAACTTTTATTCCTGATTTATTTCTTCGAATCTTTATAAGGAAAGTTTCTAATTTCTTACATGTAGAGGGATTTTTGTAGTTTTGTCTTATTCAAAGTTTTTATTTTAAAAATTACTTTGAATATTGTAATTGTTAGATGAATTTATATTTAAAGTTTTTTGATGATGTAATTTAATAATTTTTTGGTCTGTTTATTGGGAGGATGGATGTATGGGCTGGTCGAGTTTTTTAATTTTTTAATTTATATATTTAATATTAGTCAATATACTCATTTTTAATTTGTTTTTTTAATTTTATAAAAGAAGTATCATAAATATATGTATATATTTACTAATTAAAAAAATATTTAAATAATTTTTTTTTTATTTAACTTTTTTTTATTTATTTTCCATAAAAAATATAAATGGTTTTTTATTTTTTAAAACCATTTAATATTTCTGGCTATTTTTTTTAATAGTATTTTTCATTATAATATACTATTATTACTTTTTTTTTTTTTAAGAAAATACATTTTTAAGTGTTTAAAACTAAAAAATTTATTTTAAAAATTCTATAATAAATAAATTTTTGATATTTTTTTAAAAAAAATATCAATTAAAGCTTTAAATTTATACTTTTATTTTATCTTTTTTTAATATTATTGGTCATTAATATTTTTATTTTTCTCATATTTATAAATATTTTGTTTTAATATTTCTTATTTTATTTCATTAAATAATGTTAGGCTTATTAAAAATAATAATCTATTGTTTTGCTAAATTTTTGAAAAGATGAAATCTTTAATCAGGTAAATAAATCTTATATTTTTAGATAAAAGATACTTCTTTAAATTTTCTTATTCTTTTTTTTTATTCATAATTAATTTTATTTGAAATAAAGCTTTTTGCTAAAGAATAAATAAATAAAATAAGTAAAATATATTAAATATATTTAAAAGAAAAATATATAAATTACCCCATTTTTATAAATATAAAAAAGTTTTAATTATATATTTATATTAATTTAATTTACCTAAATTAAATTAATTTTAATGTAATTTTATTATTACTAATTTAATAAATATTTTTAATATATTAACAAAAATAAAAAATAAAAAATTAATTAATTTTTTTTTATTTAAAATAAATCTAATATTTGAATAAAATATAGGGTTTTTTATATTACCTCTTTAATTATTGGAATTTTTTTTTCGTTTTTATTTCTAAAAATGCTTTTTTTATCTATTTAAATATACCAATTTATTATTAGTGTATTCTAAATTTATATTGATATATTTTTATATTTTTCATTTTTAGAAGGATTTATAGATTAAAAAATCACAAATTTATATATCAAAAACTTTTAAATTTCAACATATATATATAAATAAATAAATAAATAATTTTTCTAATTTTTTTTACACATGCATATATAAATTTTAATTTTCTCTATCTAATTAATATAAAATTGAAAGTTTTAAATGCTTATTTATACCTTTATTTTAATTATTAAAATTATTTATCTTTATTCTATTTTATTTTTATTGAAAAAGTTAAAATATGGTCTAAAAAAATATAATACTCAATTTAATAAGTAATAATTTTATATATGCCTTGATTTTATTTTAAATAAAAAAAGTACTATTATTTTTTATTTATAAGTAATTTTCGATAATATTTTGCAATTTAATTATTCTAAAAAAATAATTCTTCAATATGTAATTAATTTTATAATAATTATTTATTTTTTTGACAAATAAATTTTAAAATAAAAATAAATAATTAGCAAAATTATCAGAAAAATTAATTATATTTTATACAAAAATCATCTCTATATTATAAAATATGATTAAAAAAATATATGTGACCACAATTAATTTCTACTTATAAGAAGATTCTATAATTATAAAAAATTAATAATAAAATGTTTTATATTTTTTTGATTTCTATCGACACATTTAAAAATAAAAGCTATTAAGTCTTTATGATTTCATGAATTTTAATTATATTTAGTATATGTATTCTAATATCATAAGCAATAATTTATTAAAATATTTGTATATAAAAACTAATTAGTTTTAAAGATATTAAATATTTATTAAAAAAAGATAGAAAAATAAAAATTAATAACTCATTTTATTTTTTACAAATAAATTAAAAATGAATTTTATTTAATTAATTAATGTATAAAAGCTTAAAGATATTTAGAATAAAAAAATAATCTAATAAATTATATAATTTATAAATATTGATACAAGATAATAAAATAATAATATGAATTAGTATATTTTCGTAATATATTAAAA